GGTATTTGATGAGTCGCCACCTAACGGATTATGGTGCGTTAGGGCACCTGAAGCGATTAACTCTTGGGTTGGTCTGCATTACCAGAGATTAGGTTAAGGGCTCGAAGTAACCTCGTGGGGAAGGTGTTAGGCACCCCTCTTGGTCCACAACTGTGGGTCCCGACCGAACTTGTACTTACGAATTAGTCCAAAAATAAAATAAACTATTGAAGCAGATAATTGCAAGCAGAGCATGTTGGGCATTATATAACTCAAATAAGAATGTAAACAGTTTGTATGTATAAAAGGAAAATAAAGCTTCAAGTAAAGAGGATTTGGGGAGAGCGGGGGTCCTAGGTTGGTTAGCCTATAGGATCACATCAGTACAATGCCCGGTAATCACTCATTGGAAAGGGGCTACACGTGGCATTAACGCACCGGTCATCATATCCATGTCTAACCCTCCCGTCCCCTTATTGGTCATGCAAAGCGAGTGTTTGGTCAACGATTCCTACTGCGTGCTGCTACCCGTCCCTTCTTAATGGTCCTGGGGGGAGTTGGACCCCTACCTATAGGTGGTTCTAGACGTACCCCTAAGATTTTAAAAGGCGAAAATTCTAAGGCGACAGTCAAAAAGCATTTAGGACTTTCACACAGGGAGCAGTTTAAGAGGCTTAGAGTTTCCTCCTCAAACAAACATATAAGCAGCACGGCTCAAACACAGTTAAGGTATTTTATTAAATAATGTCCTAAAGCAGGATATCTAAGTGAATATGCAAAAACAAACAAACCCCTTTTTTAGACTCAGAAATTATACCCTAGCAGTTGCCTAAGGACTCCTTTTAGAGCCTGTTAGGATCAGAAAGCATTAAGCGATAGAGAGAGTTCAGAGAATGTAATTTTGAAAGCGCCCTAGAGGCATGCCTATACGCATGATACTGATATCTATTAATGCAGAAACAAACAGATTTTGAAATAGGCTCCTTTAATACTTATAGGCATGATATCTAATGAGATGAGGCAGTTTGAAAGAACTTGTTTCAGAACTTGCTTAATACTTAATAAGACCAATTCAGGAATGAACTAGGCGTGATTAAAGGAGCTCATTAGACTAAATTAGATTAACAGACAGAATTGCGAGTAGGACTCCCTATAGGCATGATATCTAGGCGTATTACTGATTTTAGTCGATTCGCAAATGTGGCAACATATAGAAGTACTCATTATAACTATATCTGAATTAAGTCCTATAGGCATGGTATCTATTATTAAACTGATTCTAAGACATGATTGTTTGGACCCTATATGCATGATTTCTAAACATGGCAGAATGTAAAACCTTATAGACATGATTTCTACTTGATGAGCAAACAAACTTGAAACTGAAATCCCATGGACATGATTTCTATTAGGCAAAGTAATCAGATTAAAGATCAAAAGTCCTATGAGCATGCTTTCTATTTAGAACAAACAGAATTATAAAAGTAAAGTCCTAAGAGCATGTTTTCTATTCAGAACAAACAGACTTGAAAAAGTAAAGTCCTAAGAGCAGAATTTCTACCCGTATTACCCCAGAAAATATGTATCTCCCCACCCCTTTTCACTAAATACCCCAATATCTGTTTACAAATCATTACAAGCCAATGAATTACATAAATGAAATAGAAAATCAAGAAGCTATTCTATAGGGAGTCTTCAATTAGGCCCAGGTTTCCCAAAGCCTCCAATGGTCTCATATGCCTTAGTTCCATAGACAAATCAGAGTCTAGGTGCATCAAAGTTCCTTAAGGATCTCAAGGATCCCAGGCAGTGCTTACACCTAGACTTAGCAACCCAGAATTGAACAAGTGCAGTGTGGAAAGGCCAGCCTCAGTATGCCAGAGTTCAGAGGGTTCTCAAAGGATCCTAAGGAAGTACACATACTAGAGGGGGCAGAACTTATTGACTAAGAGTAGAGTGAGAAGTGGTGGACACAAGTTGAAAAGGTCTTGGTAAGAAACTGTATTAAACAAAAGCCTTTTTTAATAGAAATTCAGTAAAGCAACAGGGATGGTTTGAGAAAAAGAGATTGGAATATTTAACACAGTCCAAACACGGCTAGTTCATAGAACTAAGTGAATTCAGTAATCACACACAGGGGCAAGGGGGTTTGGGACATATAGAACATTTGACTGCAAACACAGAACCCAGCCAGGGTCTAGGACTGGTTTAGACATGCTCAGAAACAGCTGTCACTGGCATAGTCACAAAACCAGACATGAAGAACACAACCACATAGGTGGGTGATAGGGATTTGGGATTCATGGCATGCAGTATGGTAAGCATACAACAAGTGAGAGACAATTGGTAAGACATGCTCATAAACACACATAAAGGGAATATACTAATCTAAAGGAAGCGGAAGACATAATAACATGCTAGTAATGTGTTCTTAACTACAAGTTTCACAACAGAACCACAAATAGAAGCAAACCAGAAACAAGAAGAACTGAAACAATAAGAGAATCATGTTGTTGTTGGAACTTTGAATTGAAACTAGGACATACCAGTGAAGAGGAGAGTAAGCAGAATGAAAAGAACAAGAGAGCACAAATGGTTAGCCTTGGCTTGCAGCCGGCTACCAATAGCAGATAGCACAAGAGAGAGAGTGGAGATTTTTAAAGTATGAGAGATAGTCTTTGAACCCAAGTGGTCCTCTCTGTGCTAATGAAAGACTAGAGTATTTATAGTTTGAAAACAGGTAGTAAATAAGGTAAAAGTCATAGTAGTATAATAATTGAGGAACTCAGAATCAATCAATCAGAAAATCAAGGCAAGTACTCCCTTAATTAAGGGAGCTAATTCAAACGGTAAGAACCAGTAACATATAAGGCAAGAAAAAATCAGTACATGACTAATATGGAAAGAATTAAAGTTCGGTAAGCATAAGGTAGTCAATTAGGACTAAATTCAGAAAACTTCAATTAAGGGAATGATTTAGTTAGAATAAAGTACCACAGCAAATAAGGTAATTAAATCAGTCAATTTAAACAGACGAGGTAGAACTTTGGGGTTTTAAAAAAAAAATCTTCCAATCAAACCATCAATTAAGGAAATCAGAATCAATCAATAGGGAGTCATGATTCTATACCTCAACATATAAATAGAGAAGATCAACAGACGTAGCAAACAGGCAAGGTCAGCAATATCGACAGAAAGGGGCAAGAGATGAACAAACAAGATGAACACAATCACACAGAAGTGATATAAGTAGGCTAAGGACTCAGTAAAACACATTTGAAGCATGGTAACCACAGAAGCATAACAAGAATCAAGTAGTCAGGCTAACACGCAAAACCAAGACAAAGAAGATCTTAAAAATTAGGGCTTTTTAACAT